CATTGTAACTTTACACTGTGTTTCCCTCTGCCACAGGATAAATGGGCCCTCACAGTCATGAGTCGCCAATCAGCAATATTGTTATTTGGTGAACGCCTTTTTTCCATGTACCTCCCTGAGGGCAGGGATCTGGTCACCCCAGCGCTGAGCCCAGGGTTGGCACAATAGTTGTGCTCAGCAATCATTTTGCCTGCTAATATCGACCCCTTCCTGCTCTGTGTGCCTGGCCAGGTGGCCCATGGGTGCTGTCTTGTTTTATAGCATCAGGCTGATGACCAGAATGTCATGGCTTCTGGGCAGAGGCCAGCTTCCCTGCTGTGTCCCCTCTGCCTGCTCCAGATGTCCCCAGCCCTGCTCCAGATGTCCCCAACTCCCAGAGTGCAGGGAGTGGGCCCAGAATGGCCAGAGGGGCCAAGGTGGTTGGGTGGGGGCATGCCAAGCCCTGGGGAATATAGTCTATTCCTAAGGACCTACCTTGCTGTATACCTTTAGGGTGACTCATGGGACAGGGTGGGGCTCTCTCTCATCCCCTCACATAGAGCAGCCAGTGAAAGGCTCCCAAAGGCCCACCCAGCCCTGTGTCACCAAATAAGTCCTCAGCTTCTTGACAACCATCACACCCTGTCCTTAGGAGATATACAGGGAGACATAGCAAGGCTCTTCCTCAGCAAAGAGAGGCCCCAGATCTGTGGCCTGGGACTTTGTCTGGGCAGGGAGGGGAAATGCAGGTGACCCAGTCTCTTCCCCCTCCAGCCTCGCCGAGTGCTTGCTTGTTCGCTGCCTGGCTCCCCTCTTGTCACCTGCAGCAGCCCCAGGATGAATGCAAGACCAGAGAGGGCTCCTGGAGCCCTGTGGGCCTGGAAGAAGCCCTCACACCAGTACCCAAGGAGATAAGCTGAGCCAGCTGGTACTCCGAGCAGGCTGCGGGTGTGAACACCCTTGATACATACGGGAGATGGGTCGCTAAGAACTGCCCACTACTCTAGTGTATGATAAAAATCGTATTTCAAATCAATAGGGAAAGGACTGATTTCTCAGTATTTTAGTTTTTTTCAGTATTTGGGGTTGTTTTGGAGGCTTCATTAAGCCATTGATCCTTGATAATTAATACAACCTCCAGTCCTTCTCCCTTCCCTGGAGGTAAGGCTGATATCACCTGGCTGGTTCCCTTGGCAGCCAGCTCCCATCCTGTGGTTCTCCAGGGGCTTTCCAAAAAACCACCTTATTAACATAAACTCAGGTGTGTTTGAAAGGGGCTTGTTATGAAAAACAAAAAGCACCCCTTTGACCTTCATTACTCTGGAGCTATTTCAGGAAACAAAAGGTGCCCCTTTAGGAGCTCTGTGCCTGGTCCACAGACAAAGACCATAATATATAGGGTGTCCCAAAAAACTGTACACACACACTGTGAATAATTATAAAGGCAGTGTTTATTAAAATACTTTTCACTTTCAAATTGAGCTATCCGCTGTTAAAGTGTGTATACATTTTTGGGGGACGCCCTGTATATCACAACGGCCACAGGTAACTAACTGATACGGGTACACACACCAAACTGAGGGAGGGGCAAGAGTGGGCAAGAGATGGGCTTGAAGAGAAAATCTAACAAAATAAAGGCAGGGCTTGTGCAGAGCAGTAAGAAGCAAGTCACAATTTGAGAAAGAAGCTTAATCACTTGCTCCCACAGGCTCCAAATCAAACACAGATAAAAAAGGGAAAAGAGAGTCCTGCCGGAGTCTCAGAAGATTCGCAGTTGATCTCCAGCTGTGCCGCTGCCCAGCACATGAAGTTCCCCAGTCAGTTGGGGGCCTGGTTTTCTCATCTGCTTAATGAGATTAATAGGAATGCTTGCCCTGCCCACGTCTGGGCACCTGGGGAGATGAGCTCCTGAGCAAGAACGTGCATTCAAAGGGATGAAGCCAGTCCTTCCCACTTTATGTCTGCTTTCAACCTCTTTTCAAAAGTTAGAAAGAAATGTAAACATGTATATATTAATATATATTATATAAAATATGTAATATATAAAAACCTATTATATAAGCATATATATTATATATACATATATATGTGTGTGTGTATACAGATGAATTAGCAGCAAAATGGCACCAGTGTTACCTCAGTTCTTGAGTTTTGGCTAAGAAAAAATTCAGAGTCAAGACTCAAATACAAGCAAAAGTTTATTTAGAAAGTCACAGAGGTAGAAGTGAGCCCTGAAAGAAGTGAAAGCTGAGTCCTTTGTCTTGAGGGTTCTTACCTGGAGGTCTCAGGGGAGGATACGAATAGAATATTCATCAGCTTTCCAGGTGTGTCTCCTCAGGGTCACGGTCTCCACTGATTGGTCAGCTCCTGGGAGGGGGGATCCTTGGTCTTCACAGCTGGTCCCGATGTCAGCCATGGCATTGCTGGCCTGGCCTTGCTGCTTTTCTGGTCCTAGAGCTGAAACACAACTGAGGCCTAGAAGTTATCTCTAGTTTGACCAAAATTCTGTCTCTGTGGTCGACAGACCTGAGGCTTTGCTTCCAAGATCATTTGATGTGGGTCAGAACCTCATTGTCCTAAGGGCTTAATGCTAAGGGGGTGCCTGTGCCAGGGAGTCACATGAGGCCATTCTCCGGCCCCCTTGTTCTTTTTCTAAGGGTAGACCCCTTGACTAGCGGACCTGCCAGGGGAGGAAATGTCAGGGGAGAGTCCAAACCTCACGACCAGTAATATGAAAGGTCAGGGGGCCTAAATCACATGACCAGCAATATCCTAGGGGAGGAAAGGTCACCCTGGGGCTTTCCGCCTTGGTGACCTTCCGAACTTGGCCCTTGGTTTCTTCTCTGCTCGTGCCTAACTGCCTCCTACAGGTGTACAGAGAGTAACACAGTATATAAATATATATATATGTCTGGGGAGCGGGGGTCCAGCGCAAATATAGCAAAATGTTAACAATTGTTGGATCTGGGTGGAGGCTGTATATACGGGCATTCATCGACCTGGATACTTTTATACTATATAGATGTGGTCATTTCCATCGGACAAAGCTGGGGAGGTAAAGAAAGCCTTTCCATGGCTGAGTCTGACCCGGACTTGCCCGCTGGCCCCAGTTGGACCCACTCATATCCTCTTCTCTTCATCTGGGCAGTGTAGCTCCAGTCATGCTCTCTCTCCAAGACCCACATATTTGCTTAAAATTCTGCCTGTTTGACCAGTTTGTCCTCTAAGTGCTGATGGCTGGACGACCTGCATCTGAAATGCACCATGTGACTGCCACTGTGCTGAAGTGGCTGCTCTGTGGGTGGGCCTGTGAAGGACACTGGGAGCCCACCCACCTCCACCGTCCTGAGTGAGGGCCAGGCTCTGCCCTCAGGGAGCTTTCAGCAGGAGGGTGCCCTTGACGTAACACTGCACTGTCGCAGCAAGTAGGGAATGGAGGCACAGCCCTGGCCTGTGTGGTTCAGTTGGTTGAACGGCATCCTGTACACAGAAAGGTCGCGGGTTCGATTCCCGATCAGGGTACGTGCCCAGGTTTCGGGTTTGATCCCCAGTTGGGGTTCGTGGGGAAAGCAACTGATGGATGTTTGTCACATCAATGTTTCTTTCCTTCTCCCTCTCCCTTCCCCTCTCTCTAAAATCAATAAAAACATATCTAAAAAAAGAAAATGGAGGTGCAGCCAGGTACCAGGGGCATGGAGGGGAAGCACCGAGGCCAACCAGGGCACGTTTCTAAGAGTGCCAACCCCTGGGGTAGGTAAAACAAAAGTTTGCTGGGTATTGTGAAGTAGCGAGGACCCTCCTGGCCTAAGCAAAGGCACAGAGCAAGAGGCGGGGAGCAGCAGGAGTGGTGTAAGTGGTGGTGTCAGTGGCCTTTGGACTGAGCCCTGTGCACACTTAGGACTCCCCCCCCCCTTCAGCTGCCATCCCTGAGCCTTTACTCTGGTTTAGGCCCCCAGTTGTCTTGGGGCTGAGCCAATCAATCATGAAATTGAGTAATTTTGTCTTGAAAAGTCTGACACCATCTGCTAGCATGTTTGAGTAAAGAGTTGGTCACCAAAAAAATACTAGGTAATTACGTCGTGTTGGCAGAAATATTTTCCTTTTTTGAAGTTCACTGGCATAAACAATCAGCACGGTTCATTTTAATTTTTTTTAATTGGCACAATTTTTGCAAAGAAAAATAGTGTATGTGGGCTGGCAATTAAAGAGAGTGTAAATGCATTATAATAACTAGAAAATATTTATAATGGTTTAAAAGAATTTTCTTAAGTACTCCCAAAAGGAGATTGAGATTGGGGAGGGTGTCTCTGGCCAGGTGCAGACACCAGGCTGAGAAGGGCTGGTTGGTGCTTGAGGCAGGGAACCCATGGGGGGCCGCTGCTCCAATACAGGTGAGATGGGGTCAGTCCATGCTCTGCCCACCTGTTCTGGGCCCCACCCAATAATACTCTGTGTCGAGGAGGGATTATCCCACCTTGGCAGTGGCCACAGGTGGAGGAAGGAGAGAGGGCAGGTCACCTGGAGGAGGAGAGGAGAGAAGGTGATATCGGGGAGCCCCCTAAGCTTGTCTTTGAGTGTGATCCTTTAATCTGGGTGCTGCCCTGCCTGGCTGGGTGATGTTGGACAAGCCCCCTTCCCCTTTCTATGCTTCATCTAGAAAATGAGGGCAACTGCTTTCTGCACAGGAGGGCTGTGGAGAGCTCTCGTTGTCAGGTTAGGGGCTGTTTGGAAGAGAAGATTCCATAGGGCGTGGGAGGGCTGCCATGGGGCTGCCTGGACCTGGGCTGCCTCCTCACTCCCTGGCCCCGCCCTGGCCCTGTTAGAGGGGTGGTGAGGGTGTCCAGGCTTGTCTTCGCAGCAGCAACTGATTGTTCTCTTCGGACCCCTCCCTGACAATGCGAAATCCATGGGCCAGCAGATTCTACCCCAAAACCTGTCCAACCAGTTGTTTGGGAGGAGGGGGCACCTGGGAGGGGCAGCAGGAGGTGCCAGAAGCAGCCTCCCCCAGCCAAGCCCAGACGAAGGAGCTCTGAGGCTCTAGACGTTGTAGACAGACCCTCTGACAAACAGCTGGACGCTCGGCCTGGCCATGGGGCTCAGTGGGAGACACTCTGGGCTGCTGATGCCACCCTGGCTGCTGCTGATCTGTCTGCAGCTGGGGACAGGCCTTGGTGAGTGAAAGTGGGGTGGGGCAGGGGTGCCCACTGTGCCTCGGGCTTTGGGAGAACAGACCTCACCTCCCCCAGCTGGCTCCAAAACCTCAAGTCTGGGAACTGGGTCCTAGATGGGTCAGGAGAGACAGCCCACCAAACAGGTCACAAGACAGACACCTATCCCCCACCCCCGGACAGGAAAGTAAGTAATGCTTCCTCTCTCTCTGGGGTTTTCATCTCCACGCTCCCTGAGCCCCCACCCCAATTCTCACCAAATGGTTCCCCTCCTCCCCTCCTTGCCCTCCTTCCTGTCCCTGAGCAAAGGTTAAAAGGAGTCTGCAAGGACAACCCCAAAAGGAAATCACTGAGGGGGCTGCAGGCGTTGTTCACTGTGGGCTCTTAAACTAGGGGGGTTTAGAGATGCAGTCTCCCCGTCTCTGCTGTTCCAGGCCTTTTCCCTCATGAAGCGAACATTAAGTACTTGCTGTATGCAGTGTGCACTGGGCCTCAGAGAAGAACTGGGAGCTCAGAGAAAGGAGGGTTCTAGCACTGAACCTTGGGAGTTAAGTGAAATTAAATGGAAATGAATTTAATTGAACAGAATTGAACCAAAAGAGGGGAGAGGGTTCTGGAAACTTGCATCAAAGCTCACCTCATTTTTCTGCAGCTCTCTGGAATTTGGGGCTGGAGAGAGGGAGAGAGGAGGAACACTGCTCTCAAGGGGCCCAGGGAGAAGTTAGGGGTTCTGAGCTCCCCCAGCAGCAGGGCTGGACATGGGCATGGGGGCGCAGGCTTCTTGTCCTTCCCAGCTATCCCTGGCCTTTCTCAGATGGGGCTGTGAGGGGCTGAGAAGGGGTCAAGTTTCTGAAGGGGAAGGTGCCCTGGGGCTGGGTGGGTGGTGGCAAAACACTGGGTGGGAAGGAGAGGGTGTCCTAAGCTCTGAGCCAGGACACAGCCCCCCTCTTGGTGGCCCAAATCTGGGCCTCAGTGCTTGGAAGGGAACTTTCTCTGTCACCTCTCCACTCCTCCCAAGACATTCATTTTTCTCATCAAGCAAACCAATCTGAACCATACAGGTAGAGCTGGAGGGACTTGAGAGGTGGGTAAACTGAGGTCCAGTGAGTCAGAGCTCGAGGTCACTGGGCACCAGAGGGTTCAGGCTCCCTCAAATCTGAGCCTCACCCCAACAAGTCCTAAGACCCTCTTCCCCAGAACTGTGCCTACAGCCAGGAGGAAGGGCCTCCTATGCCTCTAGCTATCCCCCTTCCCCGGACTGTGCCCATCACATGGAGACCCCAAGTAAGGCAGTGCCAGATAGGCCTCTCCTGACCTCCCACAGTGCCCACCCCTCATAAGCTCTCGAGGCAGGGGCCAGGGCTGGACTCAGGCCACCCACCCATGCCCATGGGCACAGAGTTTCCAGGGAGCCCTCCTGATTAATGCCTGAACATAGCTCCCAGGAAAAGCCCTAACTCCTCCCTCAGACTAAGGCCCCCAGGGCAGGGCCATCCCTTTGCCCTCCCAGGACCCTGTCTTTCCCCCTCAACCTGGGCTTCCAGGTCAGGTCTATGCCCTCTCCCCTCAGTCTGGGCTGTGGGGGGCTTCTGGCTGAGCCTCTTCTCTCTGACCCCACTGGCCGCAGAGCGCATCAACTATGTGCCCCAGCTCTCAAGTGCCACTCTGGCAGGGACACTTACCCAGTCCACCTTCACTCTGGAGCAGCCGCGGGGCCAGTTCAGTCACCTCAACATCTCCGACTTTGACCCTATCTGGCTGGTGGTGGCCCAGAGCAACGGTGGGTGTCCCTGGGGCAGGCCTTGGTTTTCCCTCTGTGAAATGGGCAAGGGGCATGGGAGGAGCAGCAGGGGTGGAAGGAGTGGAGGAAGTGCTGCCAGGGATGTGGCTGTGGGTGGGGAGGCTGTCTGGCTTGGTGGGATGTGCTGGAGCCCCGCCCATGTGGCCCCCATGCCATATGGGGCCAGATGAGCAGGTCACACACTAAGCCTGGGAACCTGGGGACTCCTGAGGACCAGGGATGGGCCAGCCCCTGTTATCAGAGCCACCATTACCCACCATCTGACCCAAATGCCACCCTCAGCCTCCCAGAACTTCATTGCCCCACAGAGGGTGGAGGACACCCCAGTCCCTGCTGACCTCCCCCAGAGGGGCTACTACCTCACGATGATGGCCAGCCGGGCACTCTATCCGGGTAGCCAGCCTGGCAACCAGCTCCGGGTCCTCCGTGTTGGCAATGACACTGGCTGCTTCCCAACCACAAGAGGCTGCAACCACCCCCTGCCAGGTCCGGGGCCCTACCGGTGAGCAGCTCTGCCTGAGCCCAAACCTGAGCCTGGGGCAGCTGCCAGCTGGATGCCTGGGTTCTCTTGTCTAGTTCTGCAACTGGTGGGGGGAGGCCTGGGTGAATTCTCCTGTCCTTCTTGAGCAGAGGGTCCCTAGCTCGAACCCCTGTGCCCATGGGCCACTTGGATCCCACAGGTGGAGGCTCCCCATCCAGGCAGGGTGTGCCCCTGGGAGGGACTGGTCCCTGGACCCATCTCCCCTCACTCAGGGCTTCATTCACTGATGTTAGTGCTGGGGGATCTAGTTCACTCCACACATGTTTCCCAAGTGAGGACGCTGAGGCCCAGAGAGGGCAAGGCATGCACACAAGGCCACACATCTGGGAAATGTCACAGCTGGCATTGGGGCCCCTCCAGGTGGACTCCAAGGCTATGCTTTAAGGCCCAGTCCCCGCTCCCCAGCCCACCACGCCCTGGGAATCAAGGGAGCAGACTGATGGGCACCAGGGCCCATGGGTTCAGGACCCAGAGACCCTCACCCCCAATGCTGGGTCTTCTGTTCAGAGTGAAGTTCCTGGTGATGAGTGACAGAGGACCCGTGGCTGAGACAGAGTGGTCCAGTGACACCCTTCTGCAGCAAGGTATGGGGCCAGATGAGCAGTTCACACACTAGGGAGACCCCGAGGACTGGGTGTGGGCCAGCCCCTGTCAGTCAGAGCCACCATTGCCATTTGGCTGTCCGCAAGTACGCCTCCCCCAGCCTGGGTGGGGGGTGGTTGATCTGGAGGCTGTTCCAGGTTCCCCTTCTCCAGTCAGATCATATCTCTTTCCTCCTTACACGGCCTGCCCTGCCTGCCTGCCTGCCTGCCTGCGAGGTCCCTTCCTGCCCCTCAGCTGAGGCACTCCAGGCTACCCCAGGGCTCCAGAGCACGGGCACAGTGGTCATAATCGCCACCCTCTCAGTCCTGCTGGCTGTCCTCCTCACCACCCTCCTTGCCCTGCTCATCTACACCTGGTAAGTGGACAGGGCTGAGACCTCCGGGCCCCTGGGAGGGGGGAGGCCCCTGACCCGGACAGCCCTTATCCCCTTCTCCCCCCTCGATCGGTCCACAGATCCCGGCCCAGGCCCCCAGCCCAGCTCCCCTCGCTAGCCATGCCGAGTGGCTTTCCCTGAAGGCCAGACATGGGTGACAATTATTGAGCAAGGAATCCTCAAGGTCCAGAACTTCTTAACCCCTCCTTCCCTTGTCTTTCCCTACTACCCGCCCGACGGGGCCACAATTTCTGAGTGGGAACCATCGCCCCCTGGTGGCNTGCCTCTAGCTATCCCCCTTCCCCGGACTGTGCCCATCACATGGAGACCCCAAGTAAGGCAGTGCCAGATAGGCCTCTCCTGACCTCCCACAGTGCCCACCCCTCATAAGCTCTCGAGGCAGGGGCCAGGGCTGGACTCAGGCCACCCACCCATGCCCATGGGCACAGAGTTTCCAGGGAGCCCTCCTGATTAATGCCTGAACATAGCTCCCAGGAAAAGCCCTAACTCCTCCCTCAGACTAAGGCCCCCAGGGCAGGGCCATCCCTTTGCCCTCCCAGGACCCTGTCTTTCCCCCTCAACCTGGGCTTCCAGGTCAGGTCTATGCCCTCTCCCCTCAGTCTGGGCTGTGGGGGGCTTCTGGCTGAGCCTCTTCTCTCTGACCCCACTGGCCACAGAGCGCATCAACTATGTGCCCCAGCTCTCAAGTGCCACTCTGGCAGGGACACTTACCCAGTCCACCTTCACTCTGGAGCAGCCGCGGGGCCAGTTCAGTCACCTCAACATCTCCGACTTTGACCCTATCTGGCTGGTGGTGGCCCAGAGCAACGGTGGGTGTCCCTGGGGCAGGCCTTGGTTTTCCCTCTGTGAAATGGGCAAGGGGCATGGGAGGAGCAGCAGGGGTGGAAGGAGTGGAGGAAGTGCTGCCAGGGATGTGGCTGTGGGTGGGGAGGCTGTCTGGCTTGGTGGGATGTGCTGGAGCCCCGCCCATGTGGCCCCCATGCCATATGGGGCCAGATGAGCAGGTCACACACTAAGCCTGGGAACCTGGGGACTCCTGAGGACCAGGGATGGGCCAGCCCCTGTTATCAGAGCCACCATTACCCACCATCTGACCCAAATGCCACCCTCAGCCTCCCAGAACTTCATTGCCCCACAGAGGGTGGAGGACACCCCAGTCCCTGCTGACCTCCCCCAGAGGGGCTACTACCTCACGATGATGGCCAGCCGGGCACTCTATCCGGGTAGCCAGCCTGGCAACCAGCTCCGGGTCCTCCGTGTTGGCAATGACACTGGCTGCTTCCCAACCACAAGAGGCTGCAACCACCCCCTGCCAGGTCCGGGGCCCTACCGGTGAGCAGCTCTGCCTGAGCCCAAACCTGAGCCTGGGGCAGCTGCCAGCTGGATGCCTGGGTTCTCTTGTCTAGTTCTGCAACTGGTGGGGGGAGNCAGCTCTGCCTGAGCCCAAACCTGAGCCTGGGGCAGCTGCCAGCTGGATGCCTGGGTTCTCTTGTCTAGTTCTGCAACTGGGGGGGGGGACGCCTGGGTGAATTCTCCTGTCCTTCTTGAGCAGAGGGTCCCTAGCTCGAACCCCTGTGCCCATGGGCCACTTGGATCCCACAGGTGGAGGCTCCCCATCCAGGCAGGGTGTGCCCCTGGGAGGGACTGGTCCCTGGACCCATCTCCCCTCACTCAGGGCTTCATTCACTGATGTCAGTGCTGGGGGATCTAGTTCACTCCACACATGTTTCCCAAGTGAGGATGCTGAGGCCCAGAGAGGGCAAGGCATGCACACAAGGCCACACATCTGGGAAATGTCACAGCTGGCATTGGGGCCCCTCCAGGTGGACTCCAAGGCTATGCTTTAAGGCCCAGTCCCCGCTCCCCAGCCCACCACGCCCTGGGAATCAAGGGAGCAGACTGATGGGCACCAGGGCCCATGGGTTCAGGACCCAGAGACCCTCACCCCCAATGCTGGGTCTTCTGTTCAGAGTGAAGTTCCTGGTGATGAGTGACAGAGGACCCGTGGCTGAGACAGAGTGGTCCAGTGACACCCTTCTGCAGCAAGGTATGGGGCCAGATGAGCAGTTCACACACTAGGGAGACCCCGAGGACTGGGTGTGGGCCAGCCCCTGTCAGTCAGAGCCACCATTGCCATTTGGCTGTCCGCAAGTACGCCTCCCCCAGCCTGGGTGGGGGGCGGTTGATCTGGAGGCTGTTCCAGGTTCCCCTTCTCCAGTCAGATCATATCTCTTTCCTCCTTACACGGCCTGCCCTGCCTGCCTGCCTGCGAGGTCCCTTCCTGCCCCTCAGCTGAGGCACTCCAGGCTACCCCAGGGCTCCAGAGCACGGGCACAGTGGTCATAATCGCCACCCTCTCAGTCCTGCTGGCTGTCCTCCTCACCACCCTCCTTGCCCTGCTCATCTACACCTGGTAAGTGGACAGGGCTGAGACCTCCGGGCCCCTGGGAGGGGGGAGGCCCCTGACCCGGACAGCCCTTATCCCCTTCTCCCCCCTCGATCGGTCCACAGATCCCGGCCCAGGCCCCCAGCCCAGCTCCCCTCGCTAGCCATGCCGAGTGGCTTTCCCTGAAGGCCAGACATGGGTGACAATTATTGAGCAAGGAATCCTCAAGGTCCAGAACTTCTTAACCCCTCCTTCCCTTGTCTTTCCCTACTACCCGCCCGACGGGGCCACAATTTCTGAGTGGGAACCATCGCCCCCTGGTGGCAATAGCTGGAATTGTGAGTAGGGGCAGGCAGCAGACACTCCAGTTGTGAGTCACCCAGGTGAATTGCTTTTAGGCCAAGTGCTAAGCTTTGCCTCAAGCCTTTCATTCAGAGCTCAGATGGGGGCCTGGTGGAGAGTGGGTGTCCACAAGGCCAATTACAGGAAAGGGGAAACCTATCCCTTGGTAGGATCTGGAGCGGAGGAAGAGGGGAAGGTGCTGGGGCAGGAGGGTTGCTGGAAGCCAAGCAAGGCCTGGCGCTGACTCGCAGCTGAGGAAATGGCTGTATCCTGAAGGCCAGAGGGATCCAGTGGTGGGTTTATTAGGGAAACAGGCATCCTGGGGTGTGAGGAATAGAAGAGGGGGGCATGGGGGCTGCCAGGGAGGGGAGAGCTGGCTTTGTGAAATTTAGAGGAATAGTCTGGTTCCCTTTGGTTAATCCAGCCTGGCCAGTGGAGCCTCAGTTTCTCCAGGGCTCCTGTATCTAGAACTCCAAACTCTAAGCAATAATCAGGCGACTTCAGGCCCTGTGTTCATCATTCTCTTCCATCTCTTCTCCCTGTCCCCACCCAAGCTATGACAGCTGTGGGAGCAGCCCCATTTCGGGACCAGAGGAGTTGGTGTGCATGAGAAGATATAACTCCCACCACATGTTCATCCCTCCAGCTATGGGGGGCTCCTGAGTGGCCCTGGGGGGCACCCATCTCCGCAACCTTCTCCCTGGTCCAGGCTGCAGAGCCTGGGCTGGGAGCATGTCCTGCAGCTTCTGGAGCTCAGAAATCACTATCAGAAATAAACATCCCCAACATCCCTCTGTACATCGTGTCATTGTACACCTGGCAGTCTCCCCACTCTCTGCCTCAGATCCCCTGGGTAGGGGCGGGGAGTTCTTAGGCAGATATAGTACCAGGGCTGAGGTCCCGGGTCCGAGGCCAGCTAAGCCATCTAGAGCAGGGCAAGCCTCTCCTCGGGCCTCAGTGTCCCTATCTGTAAAATGAGGGTGAGCACACTGCCCACTGGGCTGAGGTAAGTCCAAACCAAGGAGGTGAATGGGCTGACCTGCCCTGCATGTCTGACACTTGCTGCCCCCTCATCCCCAGCAGCCTCCTGTGGCCCCTCTCTCCAGCTGGCTTCACCTCCCAGCTGGAGGACTGAGAGCCATTCACCTCCCCTTTCTCCAATTCCTGCACAAGAGGCGCAGCTTCAAAGTTTCACAGGCCCCTGTGCTTACTCTGGGCCCGGGGAGCAGAAAGTGAGTATGAAATTCAGCTCTCAGAGAAGGCTGGGCTCAGCCCAGAGCTGACTCCAGCCCTGAACCTAACCCAGGCACCAGCATTTCCATCATCACTGCACTCTGGTTGGCCCTGAAGGGCCGGAGATGTTCTGCCTCGAGTGAGGTTCTGCCCTCAAGTTGCCCACCATTGTGGGGAGGAGAGAGTCATTACCACACAGGGATGGAGGGAACACAGACTTGGAGGCTCGAAGGAGGCTTCCTAAGCGGGTGTGGCCTTGGAGAAGAGGCAGCACTATGCCAGGTGGACATGGGAAGGGTACCCAGGCGAGAGCCACAGCATGTGCAAAGGCCTGGAAGCAGTTGGAGACTG